TACAACATGCACCTCGCTGCTAAATCTGAATCATGCGCGGCCGCCCTGCGATCATTCACAAGTGGTGGCGTATGGCGTGCTGTGCGCAGGCCCACCAGACACAGTGATGGGCATTGGTTTTCGAGATGGATGGGGGTGGCCGAAATGTTTCCCGATGCGTGCTGTCACATGCGCAGGCGCACCTGCCACACTCTGCACGTGCCCCGAACGTGGCGCACCTGGCGCGGCTGGAGTATGCGGCACACCTGGCGCACGCGGAGGCACGTGGCGCATCTGGCTCACCAGGCGTGCCTGGCACGCTCGGGTCCCAGGGGTGCCTGGCGCGCGTGGCGCGTCTGGCACACATGGCGCACCTCGCCCCAGCGTCGCGCACCTGGGGTCGGTTTTGGTTCCCAGTAGCTGTCCATCCAAAGACGACCGCTGAACATGCTCAGGCTCGGGTGTTACTTATGTGTTGGGAGGGCGGGTGGGAGTGAGCTAGACGGCTTGTTGTCTAGGAGGGTGTCCTGATCATTGTTCCCTATTAATATACACCCCCTCCCCCAGGCGACCGGCGGCCAACCAGGAACCATGAGGACCCCCACCACCACCCCTTGTCAGAAAACAATGCAAAACGCACCCTGCCTCCACATTTGGAGCATGCGCGGCCAACCCGATGCGCCCCCCCCCACCAGGCCTGTCAAAAAACACTTTTGGGCAAAGTCTTGAATCATGTTCGTGAGGCCCGCGAGCACTTTGTATTGTTTTCGACAGGGACGGCGGGGGTGTCAGCATATTGCCTGCTGTGTGCACGGCTACCATCCCTGACAGAAAACAATAGAAAACGCACCTCGCGACTAAATCTGGATCATGCGCGGCAACCCCGCGATCACTGTCAAGTGGCATTTGACAGGGACGGCGGGGGTGGTGGCGTATGGCCTGCTGTGCGCAGGCCCACCAGACACAATGATGGGCACTGGTTTTCGTCAAGGATGGTGGGGGCCGACATGTTTCCTGATGTGTGTGCTGTCACGTGCGCAGGCGCACCTGACACACTCTGCACGTGCCCCTAACGTGGCGCACCTGGCGCGTCTGGAGTATGCGGCACACCTGGGGCCCGCGGAGAACGTGGCGCATCTGGCGCACAAGACGTGCCTGTCACGCTCGGGCCCCAGTGGTGCCTGGCGCGCGTGGCGCGCCTGGCACATGTGGCGCACCTTGCCCCAGCGTCGCGCACATGGGGTCGGTTTTGGTTCCCAGTAGCTGCCCATCCAAAGACGAGAGCTGAACATGCTCAGGCTCGGGTGTTACTTTATGTGTTGGGAGGGCGGGTGGGAGTGAGCTAGACGGCTTGCGGGCGGGTGGGTAGCTTGACCCCTCCCCTACCCAGTGAGAAGGATCCTTGATGTTAGAACGGGTTTGAACCCAATTTGGCCTCCTGAAGGGGGGCGCTATTGAGGACCCCCTTCTTTGATCGATTATTAGCCTCCCCGATGGCCCCAAGACGGCCCCCAAGGCTCCAAAGATTGGCCCAAGAGGTGCCCAATTCGGCCCCAAGAGGCCGAATCGGTCCCCAAGAGGCTCCCAAGAGACCCACAAGAGGCTCCCCTGAGGCACCCAAGACGCCCCGAGAGGACTCCAAGAAGCTCTCAAGAGACATCCGAAGAGACTCCGAGAAGCATCCAAGAGGCCGCTGGCCTTTCTGCTTGCCCTCCTCCTCCTCCTCCTTCTCCTCCTCCTCCTCCTCCTCCGCATCATCATCATCATCATCATCATCATCATCATCATCATCATCATCATCATCATCATCATCATCATCATCATCATCATCATCATCATCATCATCATCATCATCATCATCATCATCATCATCATCATCATCATCATCATCATCATCATCACCATCACCATCACCATCACCATCACCATCATCATCATCATCATCATCATCATCATCATCATCATCATCATCATCATCATCATCATCATCATCATCATCATCATCATCATCATCATCATTAGCATCATCATCATCATCATCATCATCATCATCATCATCATCATCATCATCATCCGCCTTTTCCTCTTCCGCTCCCTACTTCCTCATCCCCCTCACCCTCTCCGTCCTCCTCCTCCTCCTCCGCCGATTCCTCCTCCATCCTCCCCCTCTTGGGGTATGCCGTCCTACGGCAGGTTCGTGTCGTGTCGACCCCAGCGTTGGTTCCTGACACCGCGGGGATCGTTCAACCTTGAGCGATCGGCCGTTCCCGAAACGTCAGATCTTTCAACACCGACCGACTCTGGGTCGCCGGCGGGGTCGCCGCCGGTCGACACGACGCGAACCTACCGTACCCATCCCTTTCTTCCATCGCATGCTCCTCCACATCCCTGATCAGGGCAACTCGTCTGGGCCTCGTTTCTGGATGGGCTGGTGAGGTTACGCGAAGCGTCTATGATTGAACTGCCTGCTTTTGACTGCGTCGTGAGGTGCGCACTCGGCGGCCGCAAACGAAAGACCATGCTAACGGGAACGACTGGCCCAGTCGAGTCCAATCAGTCTATCGCGCAGAAGAGCAAATCCAGAATACTCCTGAAACTAGAACAGCAAGCAACACAAATAAGACAACGAGCAAAAACAAAAAAGAAGCAGGAGCAAAGGGGCAGGGATGGAGGGGCAGGGCGGTTCCGCGACAGGCAGGGGAGGAAGAGAGGAAGGCGAGGACGACGAAGACGAACATTGAGGAGCAACACCGAGAACAAGTACCAAGAAACGGAAGAGACAACAGAAAGGGCGAATGCGGACGGAAGAGGGTGGGACCATGAGGAACGTGAGGAGGAGGAGGAGGAGGAGGAGGAGGAGGAGGAGGAGGAGGAGGAGGAGGATGGGGAGGAGGAGGATGGGGAGGCGGTAGAAGGGAGGGGGAGGCGATGGGGTGAGGGGGCAGGGGGAACGGCGAGGGGAGGTAGGAGGAAGAGGAGGAGGAGGAGGAGGAGAAGGATGAGGAAGAGGTGAGGAGGAGGATTAGGAGGAGGTGGAGCAGGAGGAGGAGGAGGAGAATGAGGAGGAGGAAGAGGAGAGGAGAATCTAGGATTCTAGGTTGGCCTCGCGCGCGCCCCGAGAGGGCGCGAGGTCCTGGCAGAGAGGAGCAAAGCGGCAGCTACGGACACGGCGGCGACGACGAACGGCGACGGCGAGGACGCCAAACGAACGAGCGCAGCGACGACGGACGACGACGACGGCGGCGGGAGCAGCCCCTCACTTGGCGCGGGCCTCCTCAGTGCGGCATGGAGCAGACGTCGCACCGTTCGAGACCTGTCACTCCGAATCTCTTGGCCCATCGGCAGGCCGCGCGCGCGGCTGCAGCAGCCGTCGCCGCCTCACGTGCAAGCTCAGCGAAAGAAGCAGCAGCAGCAAGACGAGCTGGCGGAGACCGGAGAACTCCTCCAGCATGGTGCCCAGGCACGGAGGCCGGAGGGCCCTCGCCCGTGCCCGGATGCCTGTCCCTGCCCTTGCCCCTGCCCGACGAGGAGCCTGAGCCTTGACCACGGAGATCTTCGTCGGCAGGGGCGTGTGCACGGCTCTTGCGCATGTCGTGCGCGACGTCATTGCCCTTGACATCGTCACTGCCGCCAGAATGACCAGGACGACCCACAGGTACATCACGAGGAACATCACAAGGAGGTACCTCACGATGACACTCATGGCCTCCTTGCTCGCCTCCTCCGCGAAGCACCGGACGAGGCGCGCGAGCTTTCTCCGCCTCGAGCGCCAGGCGGAGGGCCACGCAGAGCTGCTAGGCGCGGCAATCTCGATGCGCCAGACTGCGCGCCCCTCGAAGCAACGCTTGCACGGCGCGCGCATTGGCCCAGGTCGGCATCCCAGACATCCGCCTGCTCCAATTTCTTCGATGAATGGGCCCCGGACGTCTGGACCCCTTCCCTGGGCCAAACTTTCCAAAAACCCGCCGGCCCCACTCCTTCGCAGCGTCGGACCTCTGGGCGGAGCCCTGCGCTCAGCCGCCGACCGGCGAGGGCGCGCCTGGCAGCCCTTCAGAAGCGCACCAGGGCGGCACGGCCGCTGGCCGCGGGGGACAGCGCGGGGCGGCCGCCCGGCGCGTGCTCTCAAGCGGCCCGCACGCCGCTGGATCAGAGCTGGCGCCAAGAGGAGGAGGGGGGGGGGAGGGGGGGGAGGAGGAGGAGGAGGAGGAGGAGGAGGAGGAGGAGGAGGAGGAGGAGGAGGAGGAGGAGGAGGAGGAGGAGGAGGAGAAGGAGGAGGAGGAGGAGGAGGAAGAGGAGGAGGAAAAAGAGGCGCAGCATCCTTCCAACCCGCAGCCCCCGAATGGCGCGAGATCCGCCTCCCGAGATTAGTGTGCCGTAGTCGAAGCTGGAAGTGTGGTTACGTTAGGGGCCTCGCGCATTACAGCAGCGGATCAGATTCACGGACCTGGTCGATGCTAGCGCACTGCTGCTGGCAGCGCGGAGGGTGCACAACAGCCGTTAGGCAGAACTACTCATGGTCAAATGGACTCGTCAGCGACCAGAGGAGTTGTAGGCAAATGAAACGAAACGATGAGGGAAGACCCACTGCGGCAGGTTGGTGTCGTGACAACGTCAGGGGACGCGAGACCATGGCCAATACAAGCCTCGATCGACGCGACGATGCGGCGCGCACAAGTCAATCGCGAGATCGAACTTATGTGAAGTTGGGTGGAGTAGGAGGAGGAGGAATAGATGGTCTTGGATGGAAGAAGAACAAACATAATACACATACTAAGGCGACTACGAATAACAATAGCACTAAGCATACCACGAATAAGGATAAGACAATTAATAGTAATGACACCAAGAAGAAACATAATAATACTAATAATATGAAGCATGATGACAAAAACCATACTAACCATACTAATTATAAGAACAATACAAGGAAGCGGAGGAGCAGGAGCAGGAGGAGGTGCACCCCTGCCCCCCACGCCAGAACCCAGATGGGCCTGAACACTCCCCTCGGGGCACAGACAATCCTGGAGATGTGGCCAGCATCAGAATTCCAAACGCACGTGCCGTCGCTGTAGCTGCAGCCGTCGTAGTACACAGTGGCAGTGCTCGACCTGCCGCCCTGGAACACCTGGCCCTTGCAGCTGATGAGGACGTCCTCTGGCAGGGCTTCTAGGAGTATATGCTCACTCTAGGCGACAACCTGGGATGGGCACTCTGTGGGTACAGTCGAGACTTCTTGGAGAGGGTACGTGAGCGGACACAAGACCCTTCCGAGAGCCACATTGCCATCGGAATGCAAAAGACAGGGGCCGCGAAACACAAGACACAAAGGGTACCCTTGATTGGGCAGGGCCGATCTAGTGATCAGCCTCGACCGTCCAGAGATCGGGGCCTCGTGATGGAGGGGGGAGTCTCGCCAGGCCCTGCGGTCTCTCCGCCCCCAGGGAGCCACGGACCCCGCCTGCGGAGAGAACAAGGCGCGTGGGATGTGCAGCTGTCTCCATGCTCGTGCTTCCCTTCCGAGCGATCCAAGTTTTCGCTATTTACTTGTTTTTTTTTGGGGGGGGGGTACCACCCCAATCTTTTCGGGTGAGGAGGAGAAGGAGGAGGAGGAGGAGGAGTAGTAGGAGGAGGAGGAGGAGGAGGACCAGTGTAAACCCAAGAGTCATCAACGATGGTAGAATAAGCTCTCCCTCCAAGCTCCCTCTTCACAGGCCCCTACAACGGCTCATTTCCACTGAGGGAACTGCCTCGTTGGAGGACAACCACTCGAAGACCCTCAAGCATGCCAAAACATTGTTCTCGGGATCCAAACCCCACTTGACGACCCCGAATCTTGTCAGAACGCCATTCCTGCGACTACACCGCGATTCAGCGTAACTGTTGCACCCTCATAATCCAGAATCCTTCCGAAACACCATTTCTGGTACGCTGATCATGGCAATCCGTGAACCTCTTGCAAAACATTGTAAACGAATGTGGGAGGCGCTAATGCGAGAGCGACATTTTAACAAGGCACCGCCCTCAATCCGTAAAACTCCTGCAAGTGTTTAAGAAGAATGTGCGCGGCGCCAGGGCGGGAGCCACATTTTGAAAACCATTCGCCCTCAATCCGTGAAACTCTTGCAAATGTTCAAAGCGAATGTGCGCGGCGCCAAGGCGAGAGCCACATTAAAAAAAACAGCCCGCCCTCCATCTGTGAAACTGTTGCCAACTACTAAGCATCAGAATCATGACTCGTGAGGAAGTCTCAGGCGAACCGCCCGGCCCGCCCTAAAAACTGGCCTCGGGGTGCGACAAGGAGAAATTATTCAGAAGGAAAAGGAATGAAGGAGGAGGAGGAAGAGGAGGAGGAGGAAGATAGAGCGCGACCACAAAGCTTAACCTGACTCGGCCTCGACCGCTGTGCGAATCAAACGGTCACCAGGCAAAACGAGATCGCCAGGCAAACCGAAGTCGAAAGAGCTTACTACCACCATCCTGGAACCACTGGGGGCACTCTGTAACCTGGGTGATGGCCCACGCTGGCGACGAGATTGCCTATACGTGCGCGATGGCCCCACTCACTTGGGCCTCGGGGACGCTGAGAAGCCCCGGCGTGACCCCCCACTTCCTTGTTTGGACGCCCGAAATGGGTACGGAAAAAATGGGTACAATGCCCAACAACAAATGTTGTCCCAAACCGACAGCGGCCGCTGTTGGGCAGGCGGCCTTCTGTCTCAAATGGACACAGGCCGCGGCGACACCGACAGCGAGTCCTGTTCAAAATGAACAGGAACTGCTGCTGGGCATCATGCCCATTCTTTCCGTACCCATTCCGTTCGTGCCGAGACGCCATGACCCCCACGTGGCCCCGAGGTCGCCTCAGAGCTACCCCAAGGAGGCCCCCCAAAAGCCACAGGCAGCGGAAGCCGCGGATAATGTTCCCGTGACTTCCGGAGTCTCGGCTCGGCTGCCCCACGCGGGCCTCCGACGCCCCCAAAAATGTCGCCCGGAGCCCATCGCACGTCTTGTGAGCTTGCTGGAGACTCCTCGAGCTCGCCATCACTCGGACGTCCACTCCCGTGCGTTTTCGTTCGGCGTCGCGCGTGCACTTTGAGTTCGCAAGGATGCTCCAAGGTGCACCTCGATGGCTGCCGCCGCAAAAGACGCACACGTCCGAGCGATGCCGGGCGAAGGGCTCGGCCGCCGGCGCGCCGGCGCCGCAGGGCGACGCAGTCGAGGCGTGGACGCCCCACCGCGAATCTGAAGAGGCACCTTTGCGCGAGCGGGCGTCGACGCCCGAGTGCGAGGCGGGGCCATACCCACGTCCACCGCCCGTGGCGCCGACGTCCCGGGACCCCAGCGGGCGGTGGATGGGGGCAGGTCCAGGCCCCGGGGGGCACGAAAACATATCCACTACCCACCGCCTCTCGAGGTCTCCGAGAATCGATCCTCCAGGCAGTGGTGATGCATAGAACCCCCCGCCTCGGACCGAGTGCGCGAGGAGCCGAGCTT